AAGGACAACAAGGAAGTGACAAACAGAAATTAAAAATCAAACAAGAACAACTCATTCAGTAGAACATAAATTAAAGTTAATTAGCGTAAACAGTTTATTACATGAACATAGGCCTAATTAGTGATCAAGATCTACTGAGTGTGTGCAGTCGCTTGTATATGCTTGTATGATAATCTAATCTAAACACAATACATTTATTTTAGTGGGTTTTTTTTGTTTTGTTTTTTTCATTTTGGAAGCTGAACAACAATAATTTAGGCCAAAAATGGCTACCGTATCCGAAAACGCCATTCCTCTACACCCAGGCTCAATGTCTGTTTTCAAAATGACCTACAGAGAATGAATGAAAATAAATGGGGAAAAAAATTGCCACCCTAGCTTAGCCTACTGCACTAAATTCTGATATCGTATATTTTGAGTATTTATTGGCGGTCAATGTACATTATTATGAATAGGACTACAAATAGTAGGCCTATTGTACACTTATTTTTGATATGCCTACCATAATGTATTTTAAATGCAAGGTTATTCCCAACTATTATATCGGAACAAATTATAGACAATACATCAATGGATAGAAAAAGCAATTTAAAGAATGAAATAATGATATGTTAAGAGATCGTAATTCAGTAAATATCCCATAGCCCATTAAGTACAGGACCAGATAAGTGTCTAACTTTTACTTTGTAGAGTATGTCACAACCACAGGCCCTAAACTTTCAGCCCGGCGATGCAGTACACTGCAAGGAAGACTTCCAAGTCCACTTGATACGCCGTGGCGTATCAACAATTGAAAACTACTTTTATACATTACCAGTGCGTTTTATAAATGAAATTAAAATCCCTGTAGTAAAATAACATAGTCATTTGGTACATTCAAGCGTTTAAAAACGATTTAATGATTATACATTTTAAATTTAATTATTTTGAAAAATTATTATGAAATTAATAACCCATATGGAATAATAGAGGCCATGGTTAATCAAAGACGCAACAAAACATGTGCTTCGCTGTTTGAAAAGGGGTGAAAGCAATACATTGAACAGCAATCTAGAGAAAACACGGAGAAAACAATATTTTTTTACACCTGTGAGTGTCGTCGTTCTTCGCATGCAAATTTCGCAGTTCAATTAAAAGTTTTTAATCCAGAGCGAACACTGAAGGAAGTGTACCCTATCTAAGTTCATGATCGAATGTAGGCCTACTGTAGTAGACCGATATCTGTCTGTCGTCCTAGACAGTTGTATTTAATATTCTTAATTAATACTAAAACGATATAAGAAATGATAATTTTAAAGACTAACTGTAAAAAAGATATAATTAGGCCTAACAAAAATTCATAAAAATTGCCTGTTTTCGATTTTTAATTTTACTCCGTAATTTTTCTGAGTAAGCCAAAGCTTAGGCCTATCCATGGAGGTATAATATCTATGTCCTAGGCCTCTCCTAGTTTTATATTTCTGCTGTCTGTTGGTTTTGATCGTAACGGTGACGATAATCTCGATAAATTATTAATGTAATTCTCAGAAATATAACGTGAGCTTGCGTTACTTCCAATAGGGTTTATTTTTATACGAGACGTTTTTGTTTGTGTTAATTGGGTTTTTACACTAAGCCTGTTATCAATTCCCCACTACGAAGTGGAGTAGCCCAGGAAAATAATCCCAACGCGTGGCCAACTATGGAATTAAACTGCCTTTAATCGCATCGCGTGGTCCACTCGTATACGTGGGATGTGGGAATTCCACATCTAAAAATATACCTGGCTTTGTTATTCATATTGCGCCTAGAAATTCATTGTTAACCGCCATATTTGCAGCAGCACCTCCATTATGCTTATTAATAGTGATTCTTGATACGCGCGCTGTATTTATTCGAAGTTATCTTAAGGTAAAGTCATACATTGTAAGAATTTTGTTCGTTTAGGTATTACTTTAAAACACAAACAATTATTTTTTAATCTTTTAAATTTCATTAATTTTAATCTTATCTTCCATTTTATTGGAAGTGTTATGTCAATGTGGTACTGTCGTAGCCCACTGTAGTTAGGTGTCTCATTGTTTACTGCATGGTATTGTAAGGAACACTAAAGATTATACATAGATATACCTATTTTATTTCAAAATTTGAAACCTGTGGATTTACACGAAAAAACGTCAACGTCTCTTTTGAAATATATCGGTTGTTACATACAAGTATAAAGACAGGGTAGGTAGGTAGGTTATCCAACACAGCCATACTTTAGTAAATATATTTAGTTTATCAAATTATGAGACTACAGTTATGTAACACATGTCGGTTGAACAGATAAGAATGTATCATATTAAATTTTTAAAAAGCAGCGTATCTCACTAGTTTTTATATCTATCAACAAGCAGTAACTTGGAACCATTGTAAAGTACACGGAATGAACAGGGATTGACTCAACAATCCACCATTGCACAGAAACACAAAAACAGATCCTTAATGTACGGCAATGAAACGATGTTATGGTGGATCAAAGTTTATGTAGCTAATTGGCTCATAGATTAGAAACTTTAGAAATCTACCTGTCTACAATTGTCTAAATATCTATAATCAACAAATATCTATAATCAGCAAATATCTGGTCGTAAATTACTAGGTTGTCCCCCATAAAGTACTCCTGAAAGTTAACTAATATAAGCGGTCATACAGGAACCATGCTGTTTGTGTCTCCCATTGACATGAATTCCAAGCTGAGCTTACAAAAGAAACACACACCATGATCGACATAGAATAAATCACATTATGAGATTAGGGACGGTGACGGAGCTGTTTTTTAAACTTCGGAAATAAGAATGATCCCATGATAAGAATTGAACTAAGGTATTCAACTCTACATATTGATTAATTGATTGATTGATTGATCACATGGATTCCAAGCTGAACTTACAAAAGAAACACGCACGCCTTGCTGGTTGGTTGGTTAGTTAGTTGGTTGGTTGGCTGAAAATTTGACAATTCATTATTTAATGTGCACTTTTTTGACAAAGAAATTATCTATAACCCCAGATATATTTTATTGTCACTGCCTATTATAATATTCAGACGATTTATATTTGTTTTTCTTTTATTAGATACAAAGTAACTGGCGTCAGTGTTATAACACCTAGAAATATATGACGAAATGGCAACTATTGAAGGTATATTTCTATAATGTACAATAAGTGTCATTGTTTTTGGCTTACCTAACAGTAGCAAAAAAAAAAAAAAAAATAAGCCATTGTTTTTGTCTGATTTTTTTTTTCTTCACTTTTGACCACACATTTTTCCTATCTTTTTGCTCAGGATTTTCCTGACCGCCACTTTAGTCATTTTCCAGACTCAGACCTTTTTCAAATTTTATTGAAACATAGATATATTTAGTGACAATGCGGAGTGGGGTGTCGATGTGAGGACAAATTAAAGTGATTTATATTCAAACACTCCACAAGAGATAGAGATATTTCAAAAACGAATCAACTTATCTCTATGAAACTTTTAGGAAAGCTTAAACAAATTACAATGAAGAAATGATTATGTTTTGGAGACGCTCCAATGGGATTTTAAATGTAAAGGTCATCTACACACTTGTAACGTTTAAAACTTAAATATGTTTGGTATGATGCACAGTAGGGTGTGGATATGAGGATCATTGAATGGGAAACGTCCAAGACTAGGTAAAGCAAAAACTAAGCAGCTGATCAAAATCAAATTTTCGGAAAAGTTTAGCTAAGTTACAAGGAAGAAATTACAATTCTTCTTGAGATGATCCTGTTGAGGGTGGAAATTTGAGGGTCATTTAAATTGTTAACTTTCCAGACCTAAATATCTCAAAAAGACTTATAGATGGATGTAAATGTAATTTTTCAGAATAGTTTGTCTTGACCCCAGTGAAGAAATGACTGAGTTTTGTTGAAGATACGGAGTATTTTTTGAATATGAAGACCATTCAAATTAAAACCTCCCAGGCAATATATACGGGAAAAAAACTAATACACTGAATTAAATTTATAGATACGTTTATCCAAATTACAAAAAGAGATTTTTAAATTTTTATGAGATCTAGAATCTAATGTACATTTGCATTTGAGGGTTATTTAAAGTGCAAACGTTCCAGACCTAAAATTAATATCTCAAATAGGTTATCAGTGGATCTAATTGAAACTTCCTATAATTGTTTGTTACGCTTATTGAAGAAATTTTTATATTTTGGTAACGATCCCAAGTAGAATCTGGATATAACGACCATTTTAAACATATTTTAGACTGGTGATTAAGCTACGTAAACGCACGTTAACTAAGGCGTTTTCAACCAGCTGCAGCTAGGTTACAATTACTGAGAACAATTTTTGCTTTGAATCACTCATTTACCATGATAGTACTCAAGGTAGATGGAAAAATTGAACTGACCTACACACGGTTGGCTCACATAATGGGCAATTAATTTGAGTCCCCATGTACCTCGCTATCATTACCGTTGCAGCTGAAGTCGTGAACATGGTTTTTATTGTTTTATTTATTTATTTTATTATTATTATTATTATTATTATTATTACTTCATTTTTTTTATGACAGTATTCAGCATACTTTATACTTTAATAAAAATTACCACAAGATATTTTTGATGTGTAGATTTTAAAAAAATAGTTGTTCAAAGTTTCTGACGCCCACTATGTATACCTTTTTGAATTCAAATGGCTGCGTACTAAAATTTCTTATATCTTGCCAACGGAATATTGTGGAAACTTACCTGTTGGAGTCAAATTGTTTGAAACAGTCCCAACTGTGATCCTATATTATACCCTGCATATCATTACAGTATCTCCAAAATTGTTGGTCATAGAGTCCTAATTATTGTCTCAAATTGTTCGAACATACACGCAACATCTTTTATATACATACATAATGTTATTTGTATGAAAGAGTTTTGGGGATAGATTTGGCCTTGTACCATATGTCTAAATGGTCTAATAGTATGATACTTGTATTGATTGAGAGTGAGACTATGTTATTATACCGAATAAAAAAAACTCATTTCCTTCAAATGCAAATGGGAACAATTTGATGGTTAATACAATTATAATATCTTATTTTGTATTTGAGAATTTTATTATTACATACCTATGTGTTTAAGTTACATGTAAACAACGGTGGAGTAGGAGCATACGATGTTGTAATTATAATCAAAGATCAACTTTGGTTTTCGAAAATAATGTTCTGATTTCACCTATATTTTGTCTCAGTTTGTTTCTTATTTACATTTCGCGCTCCTCAAGACAATCTCCTAATGAATTACTTTTCAAATTCATCATCATTGTTAATACAAAATATTTTTATTCTGTAGAAATATCCGAAGACAAGTTTAATAATATTAGGATTATTGTTTCACGCTGGTATGATCGCCGTCATTTCGTCAGCATGCTTAAAGTCGTGTACAAAGACCATTTGGAAAATAGCATTTTGTCCAACGATAAAACTACGATTGACATTTTGAATTCATTGTATGCTGCTGGGCACCTAAGTTCTACTGATCCTACTCTACTTTACGAGACAATTAAACTCACTAATCAGTTGGGTCTTGAAAAAAAGATTAAAGCTGTACTGCCATCACTCCCAAATATTAGGGAAATTGCCATTTCAAGGTTCTCAGACCACAGACAAAGGATCGTTAAGTTTGGACATGCATTGATTGATGATCACATACAAGCCATCGATGGTATACATAATAATCCAAAAGAGAAATATAGTGACGGCTGGTGTATGATCAGCGATTTAGAATATAAGCTGAAAATTTGTAAAGGAAAACGAATGGACAAATTCATTAAAAAATTAAAGACGCTGGAACTAGATAATCTCATCAGGATCCTAAAAGGTAATTTGTAGATACCATAATATAATATACATACGAAAGACAAAATTTTATATAATTTTAAAAGTAGATATTATTATATTGTATGATAATAATGGAAATGAAGATGACGATGATGATGACAATAAATAATATAATGATGATCCAATATCATAATGATGATTACGATATTGACGTTGGTGATAAAATCGATGATCTAGTTGATGACAATGAAATTAAAAATGAATGAGTAACTATAATGTTGTTTAATATAATGTGATAATATTTCAAATATTTAAGTACTTAGGAAGAAGTTAGAGACAATAGTTAATTAGATGAGCATTTCACATTTTTAACAATCCACACTGTGATATTCTTTCATATATTTGTACCCACTATATATAATTTCATTATATATATTATGTTATATTTACAGAAACTTTTGCAATGTTATTTCAACTATTTATTTGAGTTTTATTTTATTTTGTTATTTTGCTATAGATATTACTCCAAACCGGAAACGGAAACATAAAAAAACCATAGAGGATGTACAAGTGCAGCCCAGAGGAAAAAAGAAGAAAAGTAGAACGCCAAATAAGAAGTGAAGTCAAATTGGTAAACATTACAATACAAAACATTATTACTTTTAGTTAAATATACTTGCTCTGATTGAGCCCCTTTGTAGCAAAGATATTCGAATAGATCACTTGGTTTTAATGCAATATCACAAACCTAATTATCCATTATTAATTGAATTAAATCAAAAATTAAATTAATCTACGACAGCCAACAGAGGTTTCATGTAGGCCTATATTCAACCGTGTTTGCGTACATAGATGATTTATTTTAGTCTGAAGTTAAGAAACACTTAAAAATATATTTTAAGCTAGAAACTATGATATGTATTTTCTTGCCCAGCATTTTTTTTGTCAAAAAACGACATGTGATTTAAACAAAATATTAATGAGATTGTTTTTATCAGGTACAATCTATAGCGCTCGTATTATTTTACACAGTCTTATGATGATGATGATGAAAATGAAGATGATAACGAATAATAATAATAATAATAATAATAATGATAATTATTATTATTATTATTATTATTATTATTATTATCATTATTATTATTATATTAATAATAAAAATAATTATTATTATTACATTAATACTGTAATAATAATTATAATAAAAATAATAAATAATAAATAATAATTATTAAAATAACATTAATAACAATAAAACTCGATCAATTAATTGATGAATCAACGAAGCAATCAACCAACCAACTTTTATTTCGGACTTATTATTATAATAATAACAAGAGTAGTCAGTAGGGAGCATATCTCCGCCCACCGCAAATCCCTATCTACGCACCTCGTTCTGCTACTCTTAAAACCACCATCCTCTGACCCAAACCCCACCCCACCTGAAAGAAATTCCAAACAAATATTCCTACTTTCTAACCGCCGTGTTTTCTTGAAAAAGGAAATTACACTTGTCCGGCCAAACCAAAACGACTTTATCTGTATACCTACCAGTTCCTTACTTCTTATTATTACACTGGAACGTTTAACTCTTATACTTGACAAACAGTACTTGCCAAGTATTGGTGTTTAAATGGATATATTATGCAAACAGTGAAATTAATAAGAAAAATGGGAACTGCTTTTTAGCATGACATGTTTAAAATAAAGACGCATTAAACATTTCCCATTTAGTTCCAAAAAAGTTAGTACAGTACATATAACACCCTGTAAACCTTTACTGTAGTTCCACAAGTTTGAATATTCATCATACAGATCTGAGTGTGAGTGGTGGATGGTAAATTGTTAATGATGAATGATGAATACTATACTAAATAATAAGTGGTAAATAAATAATAGTAAATAAACAACAAAAATAAAAATTAATATTATCATTAATATTGACTATGAAAAGATCCTTAGCTTGAAGTGAATGGTGAGTAGTCAATTGTGAATGATAAATGATGAATGATAAATTAATGAATGGTAGATGGGGATAGTGAATGGTAGATGATGACTATTAAATACTGTTTTTTTTTATATAGCACTGTAAATTAACAACAATAAAAACAAGTATTGTAATCATTAATATTTACTTTCAAAAGAGCTTTAGCTGGGGTTATCTCATTATATCTATTAGATTAATTTTAACCATCAGCAGAGAAATAGTGACACATGATTACCGTCTTAATATCTTAACTAAAACGTTGAAATAACTTCCAATTCAGACTTTAAAATTATCATGTTTTCCATTTTTCAATTTTTTCCCTAAAATAACTAAATATAATTAAATATTGCGTATGCAAAACTTAAATAGGCCTGTAAATAGTTTAGGACATACAAAACGGGCACAGTAACCAACATGTTGTAAACAGAATATATATTATTTTTTTCTGTTGGTTTCATTTTGAAATCCGAAACACAATATATCTATTTCTTTTCAATATGTTTTAGCTATTTGCTGACTATAAAAAGTAACAAGGATGTTAATATTTTAACTTAATAATACTACTGTATATCTTAATATTTTCAGCTATTTCTGAACATGACTACCTCCTTCTACTCGATGCTGTATCAACGCGGTGGCGAGATCGTGGAAATATTAAAATGCTCAAACTTTTGCTAAGACAATTTAGGCCAAGTATCAGTCAGTTGGACCTACAAAAGACGAACGATGTAATGAATTTGTTCAAATTGCTGAAGGCAAAGGGTGTGTTAAACAAAATCACAGCTTAATGTGCTATTCGAAGCTATTAGGATTTGTGGTTTAGACGTCGTAGAGCCCGACATACAAGATATTTTGCCATCATTCCAAGGTTTCAATGAGGTGAACATCAAAATATTTTCTTTCTATCTGCAAAAACTCATCAGATTCGGCAGTAGTTTGAACTTTGAGTCTATTAAGAGAATTGGTCAAGTAACCGGCATCAATAAGAAAGGACACAAAGACGACCAATGGGTTCTGATATGTGCACTAGAAGACACGGGTACAATCAAAGAAGACTCATTGACGGATTTTATTACATTGCTGAAGAGGATTAAAATGAACCAAGTTGCTGATTTGTTAAAATAATAATTTCATAAAACCTTCGTTATACCTACTTTAACACTAAAGTTCAGTCTAGACTAACAGATTTTATCTTTGAAAAACTGATGCATGCCCATATTAGTCATAATCCTATGTAACATCTTCAGGCATGTTACTTTTTTTTTTGTAAACTTTTATAGTCTGGACTTGGCTTAATATAACGAAATTTAGTTTTATTGAAGTATGATACAGCATCAGTGTTGTAAAACTTGAATACATTTTGCTGCATCAGCACTAACTTATTAATGTAACGGCCTTTCCTTAAAATAATAATTTATGTTTAATAAGCCAATTCATAGTCATCTGCATTTGCGTATCCAAAGAAGATCTACATAATAAACCTATGTTGTGTGTATCTTTGTTTATGTCGATTGACCTTGGTACGTGCATAGAGAAAATAGTACGTGCATGCACAGTTCAAACTGCAAATTGGCTTATATTGGTCGAGCTAATGAAAGTTAAAATTTATGTTTAATGTTTCACGTTAGTAGTTGTATAAACATTTTAGAATAATTTCCCTTAGCTAGCAGAATTGTACAAAAAAACTGTAATAAGGTAGTCTATGAAAATTAAATTTTGGATGTATATATTTGTAATACTAGTCGTAAAATTTAGGTTAGAAAATCAGTACAAGAGTTGTCTTTTACACGAGCGTCTGTTAAATATTTTATGTATCATTCTTTATTTAAATACAAGGAATACATCAATATATACAATATCATCTCTTTTATTAAATTGTTATTAAATCAACTGCACAAGTAACAACAATATTTAAATGGTAATATTTAAGTAACAAAAATAAACATAAAAAAAAATATGTATATTCATTGTATTTAAATTCGTGTTTTATAAGGTGTGGGAAATGTCCGCGGGGAAATCGTACAGGTGGGGGGGGTGAAACAGTCCTGGGACAAAATGTCACGTTGGCAAATTTTCGGGGAGCAAAATACCGGAAGAAAGTGTCCAGGGGGGGGGGGGGGGGGGCAACCAGCCTAGATCCCATTTTATTATTATTGTGAATGAAATCATCTTAGGTTAATCATCTTTTTACTTTTGGTCAAAAGACAACGTGTCAAACACGTTACCAGTTTTACAAAAGTGAACATATAATTCCCCCATTAAGTGACACTTACCTGGAAGTTAAAATGTGATGAGGATTAACTATGAAGTCATCTTACACGAAAGAGATTACCGTCATAAGAGAGCATCTTCAGATTTACTTATTATATTACGTTGCATCGTACACTAACAAAATTGTGGATGAGGGTCGGCATGAGATCAAATTTGAGTAAGATGACTACAATTATAATCTCCATTAAACTTTCAGGTAAGTATCGCTTAATGGGATGATTTTTTACGTCACCATGTACTCCACTGAATCCATGGAACGTTAAAGCAACAACTAGAGAATTAGTTCTGAATTTAACAATTATCAAATTACCAAAGCTGAACCTACTGTAAAGACATTGTCAACAAACAAACAAATTATCAGATTTGTTAAACAGAGGTTTATCATAACTTGCAAAAGTATAAAACCATTCTGTTGTGTTATACAGCTGCTCGTTAACTGTGAAACCTGAAAATTTTTTTATCTGTAATAGTTTGTGATATAACTTCACGAATCCATCTACTTATAGTATATTTTGTTACCGCCTTATGTTTAATAAAACTGATAAAATTTTACGATGTTAGATTTTAAATGCAATTTGTCTGAGATAAATATTCCTCTAACCCATTATACGAACACATAATTTTACATCAAAGATGTAGTGTTTAGAAAGAAATAAAAAGCAAGAAGCAAATATTACGAATTTTCCTCCTTTCTCATACCAATCACATGAAGGGACTGACTAAGTACCAGCCAACACTTGAGCTAAAGTAACACATTTTAAGATAAACTTCTTTAAGATTAACTCCTTAAGAGGATGCAAAGAAGTGTAAATATTTTTTAAAAAGCCAAATATCACACACAAAAAAATATCTTGGTAGAGGAGCCTTAAAAATGATGCATGCTTTTGTGTATGCATGCAATAATGTGTTTAGCCCATGCTGTAAACAGAGCCATAATGAAAATGGTGTAACAAGTCATCAAGAATCTTAATTATATGTGGTGAAAATCGTCATTTTGTCTGTGATTTATGAGAAAACAGAAACCATTCATTAATGTACACTTGATAATCTTAAGAGTTCTGGCATTTGCTTGTAATAATGTCATGATGATATCGGCATAAATATTTTCTACTCCCGCACACTGGACATCTAATTAGTAATAATTTCTTTCAAAGCAGATGTAGGCCTAGTTGATTCTAAGATGGAAGAGAAAGGATCTTCTGTCATTGGCAACAGCAGGTAAGTTAGCAGCTTATCTGCATCTGTAGCAATAACTGTTTCAGCATCTATAAAAATGACTGAAACAGTGTTGGTTTTTAAAGATCAGTGCTTTAATTATTCCTGTCGCTTTGTTTAAAGCTAACTTCTATAGACTCCTTCCTGGTGGAGGAAAAGCATAGAAATATTGAGGTTGCCAATTTAAGCTAATTATAAAAGATCTAAAATCAGCTAGAAGGTCACGGACTTGCGTAGTTTAAAATACGAATTGTCTTACTGGGCGCACACACTTACTTGACTTAATTCCTTTAGCCCCATGGGGAGCATAAGGCGTTCACCATGATTCTCTATCTCACCCGTCTCTGTGCCGCAGCTTTGGCTCCCCCATGTAATATTGATATTATTCAGGTCTTGTAGAGTAGACGCCAGTTTTTCTTGGGTCTGCCCTGTTTTCTTTTCCCCTGCGGGTTGTAGTCTAGGGACTGCTTTTTGACATTTGTATGGTCTTTCCTTAAAGTATGGCCTATCCATCCTTTATTAGGTTGCTCATCTCACTTCCTGTTTGGTTTTGCTCTACAGTTCCTTGTTGGATATCTTTCCTTAATTGGGTTTACAATTATATCTTATAATTAACATCACTTAGTATGGACAGCGTATAAGAATTCATAAATCGAATATTTGCGCGCGTGCGCGGCTCGCGTGAATTTTCCGTGCTCGCGTAAATGATTGAAATTAAAATTAGAATTGTTCTCAATTATCGTTAATTCGTCACATTTTAATCAACGAAGACCCGACCTATTTTATTTAATGGTAATCTTTTCTTTGGTTTTAATTGTTTTTTAT